TGTAGTCCAGTTGAAATTAGGATACCACAATTCGGCCGTGTAGAAGCTCGTTTTGTCTACTCTCTGAAATGAAGGAAAATCCATTCGAGCCACTCAAAATTGATGGACCCCTCCGAGACATAGTACCTTTGTGAAAGTGTAGTCCGATTGAAATTAGGATACCACTATTCGGCCTCCTAGGAGCTCGTTTTGCGTATTATCTTAAATGAAGGCAAATGCGGCAGACTTAACAGCGATGGACCCTTTCGTTCAGGAGAATCTGGATCGTGAAATCTTTCAAGTCAACAACTGCCAGAGGCTCTTAAATCCAAAGCGAAGCTCATTTCGGTCCGTAACAAAACCGCTCTTCTCCTAACTTTCCACGGTGCTTTTCCGATTTTTCCTCGATTTGTTTTTGAACCCTTCACCTTGTGCCAAGTAAACAAAAATTAGATTGAGGCGGGCGCCACACAGTGTATCGAGTCAATCACAGATGTCAGACATGAAATTTTTGACTCAAACTGCAAATTTGTATGTCTTCATCGCCACATTTTAACTTTAAGGGGTGCTTCTTGAGGGAAATTCCACGAGGAAATTAATGGAACGACTTTAGAACTTCAAAGTTTTGTATAAACGGGGTTAAAGGCGTTTCAAGTTTCCAATTTTGTCCGACCTCTCCTATTGACTCGATCCACTGTGCGGCATCGGAAAATCGCGCGGCGCTGGAAGCGCCAACGCCACGCGGGAGCCGGGCGGAGCGGAGGGAGAAGACAAAAATATGACGCCCGGGTAATTGTGCAGATATGAAAGTGTAATTGGGCTAGAACGGAAAAACGGCGAGAATACTGCCGTGCCGGAAAAACGCCGTATGAACCTTCAGACGTTGCCGAATTTCCTTTGGTAAATCACGAATTTTCGGGGAAATTTGTAAATATTTTCTTCCAATTTTTCAGATAATTTTGTTCGTAATATCTTCCGAAGCTCCTGAAAATTTCTGGGAAAAATCATCATAGCTTTCCTCAAAAATAACCATTTATCGACGGAAATTTGGCAACTCTCAAATGATCATTTGACGTTCTTCCTTAGCACTGCAGAATATCGGCGCGGCCCGGATGCGCTGCGCTGGCCGCCGCGTCAAACGTCAAACTCGGACCGGATGCCCCGGTCGAGCCCCGAGCCAATTTCCCCTCAAACCGAGACGACTCTCGACGTAGGGGCGTATCCCAATATGCACGTGAGCCCTGTTTTACATGTAAATCCATGCTCTCTGGGGCTCATGTGGAAATCGAGATACGCCCTTACTGCCGTGCTAAGGAAGAACGCCGTATGAACCTTCAGGCGTTGCCGGATTTCCTTTGATAAAACACGAATTTCCTGTTAAACTTATGAACATCACTCTTCCAATTTCGTCCGATTATTTTGTTCGCAATTTCACCCTATATTCTGGAAAATTTCGAGGAAAAGTGTCCACAACTTGTCTCCAAAATAAACCATTTATCGAAGGAGATTTGGCGACTCTCGAATGTTCATACGGCGTTCTTCCTTAGCACGGCAGCTTACGTCAGAGAAGCGACGATGTATTCCCGCGGTTTTATAATCCCCGTTTCATTTCGTAATCAATATGGGTAGTGTGGATCATCATATTATTATCATACACATCCATATCGTACTAGGGTTTTCCTGACATTATTTTGAGCGCTCGGCCGATACGGAGCGCTTTTTGTTTTAAACCTGCCTGTAGAATTCTAGTATGCCAGTGGCAATGTGTTCAAATTGCACACCAGCTCAACAAAAGCTTCTCGTGTACCAAAATTGTAAAATAGAAAAAATAAAAATATAAAAGATGACGGAGAAAGGCTTAACATATTTAGAATAGATTCACCCTCTGTGGCATGCATTGCGTTAGGGTTTCGTGACAACGTAATTTTGGGTTTTTAAAAATTGAATCTTCCCTCTAAGGCATAATTCTGCAAGTTTTCATTAGTTTCTCTTTTTTTAAAAAACTAATTCCCAAAAATTTGAAATTTTGAAAAAAAAAATGGTTCTCTATGATTTTTATCCAAGCTACAAAATAGATAAGTGTCCCCCAAAATCTCAGATCCAAAATTATTTCATGCCATAAAGGGTTAATCTGTATTACCTTTATTTAATGCTTCTGATGTCTAAGCACAAAGAGAGATAGTCGTATTAGCGGTAGTGAAGTTTTCCCAAGATTGATAGTTGAAATTTTGGTGATTGAGTTCTTTCATCTCAACGCTGCTCATCCTCGGGGAATTTAAAAACGCGCCTATACAGAAAACAGCTTAGCGCTTCAATATCTAATACGGACGCATTAGAGCTTTCCCGCTTGCTCTAGGTTTTCTCTGACTCTTTAGGATTTTCCATGGCTTTCTCAGATGAAACCTGATTTTTTAGGAACTTCTCAACCCGCGGACTTAGGAGATCCCTGCAGGAACGTGCAACTGAAAATGTATAAACGCACGCTTAAACGTTACCTCTTTCGTCGCGAGCGTTCATTTCATCGCTACGGTGAAATGAAAAACAGTTTGACGAGCACGACCCGAAGATCAACGACGTCATAAAATCACCCAACTGGATTTATCTCGTCTAGTGGCGAAGATTACGGACCAATTATGGCTGTCGAAGGTTCTATGACTGGAGCCTCCTCAACGCTCTGACTCCTGTATATATCTGCCGTGCTGAGAAAAAACGCCGTATGATCATTTAAATGTTGCCCAACTTCCCACAGTAAAATATTCAATCATCATGATCATCACAATATATAATTCCGTAAGCCCGATCCTTCGGTTCAAAATTCAGCGGGGACCGCCGAGCCGATCCGGGCACGTGTGGCACTGGCTTGACCATCCCGCGCACTGGAAAAAAAAGTCGCTTGGATGTAGAGTCCATACTCCTAAAAACATCGACAAGAAAAAATACTCTTGATTCAATCGGATTTGTCCTTAAATCTAAGAGCCAAGCCTCTTGATGCAAGCGGATTTCCTCTTGATTTAAGTAAAAATCCTGTTGAATCAACAGTATTTTGTCTTGTCAATGTTTTTAAGAGTCTAGACTCTAAATCCAAGCGACTTTTTTTTTCCAGTGCAGTCCCTCGATGGCCAGAAAATTAGAGGGATCGTGCGGCGGGCACCGTGCCCCTTGCTCCCTTTGAAAGAGCGCTAATCCCGTTCGTTCCGTCGAGAGATGGGCGATGTTTCGTTATTTCCAGGCGCTTTTTTTTCGGTCAGCTGATGATTCGACTGCCCAAGGCGTTTGTCGACATGAAAATCGCCGTGTATGATGGTTTTACGGCGGAAGCGTACCTAAAGATTTTACGTAAATTAACTATATTCACACAACGGGATGCTCCGAGATCAACTTTCGAAGGAGATGTAAACAAATCGATGACCGAAGTGTGCAGTCACGGATCTCCTTCTGCGGCGTTGCAGAAGCAAACTCCCTGTCATACACAACGCAATTTATATAAAACTATCTTGATTTTTTGTCTCCTTTGGCAGAATATTTTATTTATTTCAGAAGTTTCCTAACTTTTCTCAGAGAAAATATTTTATCGGGAGAAACGAGGCAACGTTGGAGTGCTCATACGGCGCGGCGTCGAAACACAACGTGGGCCTTTTAGGCCACATTGTTCGATGCCGCGATTATCCTAACGCGATTTCGAATAATCGCGCCGAATTCGGTGCGATCGGCGTCAAATATATCAGCGCCTGCAAGACTGCAGGAATACTTCATGCATTGCACCAAACAGTGCGGTCGGTGTCAGACGCAGGTTAGCGCCTACAAGACTGCATGAATACTTCTCGCATTGCACCAAACGCAATGCGTGGAATACGAGTGAAAGTCTTTGAAGATTTTAAAACAAAATATTCTAACGTTTCCCAATATTTTATCCAAAGAGGCGGCGTCTGCATGTTTGTACGGCGTTTATTCCTAGCACGGTTGTATAGGCTAAATGGTCACCCTGCTAAAAGTGTTACATGAAGAATGGCATGTAAATGGACGATTTCCATGAGATTTGGCATGTAAATAGCCAACTTCCATGAGATTTGGCATGGAAATCGGGGTGTAACGCATGGAAGGCGAGACGTTTCCATGAGGCTGGCATGGAAATCCTGACCACTTCCATCCAACTTGCATGTAAATAAAGTAATTGCCATGCAACGTGAAAACTATACTGCATGGAAAAGTATGGTTTACATGCAAGTTGGATGGAAATGTTCCAGTTTCCACGCCGATCGCATGAAACATAGCTGGTGCNTTTTCATGGAAAAAATTTCCATGCCAAATATTTTCATGGAAAAAATTTCCATCCGAATTTTCCATGAAACTGTATTTACATGCAAAATTTTACATGTAACACTTTTAGCAGGGCAGAAACTACTTCTATGAACAATGGGTCACTAAACTATGAACGAATTTTGACTTGCGAATACATTTGTCTGAAGGTAAATGACGCGTAGAACACGATGCGCACATTGAAAACGCGAATTAGTAGCTCAATAACCGAGAAATACGCAGTTCAAATCGCGCGACTTACCCGCAAATTTAGAACACCCCGGTTTCGCGCCAAACCGAATTATGTCATCAGGCACCTATCAGAATCGAGCACGGGTTTCTACGACTTCCGTCAAATGTCTATCTACTCCTCGTATGTGAGAACAATACTAAAGTCGAACTTATATCTTTAGAATTAAGGAATCGAATCTCATTTATGTTATCTTTAGTAGACAAGCTATGATTCCACCAAAGAAACCCGTTTTATTTTAACACACATCAGTGGAAAATGATAAAGAGATTGCGATTTGAATCAGGATTAGCAGTCAAAAATCAGGAAAAATCAGGATTTCCCAAAATGAAAAAAAGGACTAGACACCCTGGTCAGGATGGTAGTTTTATAGCTGAGAAAGCTTCCCACTCAGAAAGCCTCACAGCTATGGTTCGGAAAATCAAACAATCTGAATCATATTCTTCATTTTCTCGTTTTTTTTTTTTTGTTTCAGGTAGCGCACGCTCTGCTCACATCAATCCTAGCGAACGTGGCCGTGCAAGTGTTGGCCGGGACGCATATACCACCAGTCCTGGACGATGGAAGTAAGTAAATTTTCCGCGTATGATACACGATACCCCGACAGAGATGTCACTCGAGGAACTTTTCTCGCTGCGTGCCCGCCGGGCTCACCATCACGTTTTTCGCCACGCCAAAGTGCCGCCCCGATAATTGGCGGCGCGGTGCCGCTCGTGCGTGAAGCACGCTCCAGCCTTGTCAAAACTCTTCCAGACGCTGCCATGCTAAGGAAAAACGCCGTATGAGCCTTCAGGCGTTTCCAAATTTCCTTTGACAAAATAACTAATTTTCGAGAAAATTTGTGATTATTTTTCTTCCAATTTCTCAGGTAATTTTGCTTGTAATTTGTACACTGGAAAAACCACATTGGATCTTGAGTCCAGAATCTTAAAAACATCGACAAGAAAAAATACTCTTGATTCGATCAGATTTGAGCTTAAATCAAAAGGAAATCCGCTCAAATTAAGAGGCTTGGTTCTTGATTTAAGCTCAAATCTGATTGAATCAAGAGTATTTTTTCTTGTCGATGTTTTTAAGAGTCTGGACTCAAGATCCAATGTGTTTTTTTTCCAGTGAGAGTTGAGACAACGCGGCTTATGGATGTCACAAACGGGAATAAAGATTACACAAATCGGACGTTTTTTGTAAATCTTTGATCAACCCATTCCCGAATTTCTATCTCCGTTCCCTCTCTCATTCCATTTTTTCCTTGCCGTACCCCTAATTCTCCGGTCCATTCCAGTTTATAATCTTTGTAATTGATTATAATGTAATCTTTATTCCCGCGTGTGAAGACCTAAAATTTGGGAATCCGTCAGAAATGGATTTGCATTGTTTTTACTCTCAGTGTAAAGGGACTCTAGTAATTTGATTTAAACAGTCTGAAAATTTCAAGGAAAAATATCGACGATTTTCCTCAAAAATAAACATTTTATCGGAGAAAATTTGGCAACTCTCGAATGTTCATACGGCGTTCTTCCTGAGCACGGCAGAACGTGGAACGGAACTCGGATGGTTTCAATAAAATTGGCAAAGGCGTGAGCTCTATCCGCGGTGTGCGTTTCCATACTGCCTTCACACTTGTTTTAGCTGAAATTATAAGCGGAGGAAAACACGCTGTGACGTCATCTCGGCCCTCCGTTTTAGTTTATTTTCAAGGCCTCGCGTCATATCGGAACGTTCTTCTGCCGTGCTAAGGAAGAATACCGTATCTGTAAATTTTTTTTAAAAAAAAAACTTCGGTTGACGTCTCCTTGAAACTAGGCCACCGAGACTCGAAAAGAACCTTCCGGGACTTCCTGTCAAGCGGCTCGTAACGGTGTGTGGGTCGCTGTTAGGGCAGAGAGGTAGGAGACTTAAAGCTCCTTCAATTTTTTGCATGTTATACAAACTTCTCTAAAGCTTTAATAATTGCATCCAGGCGCCACTATCAACGTTGTCAGAGTATGAAAGTACACCGTATGAAAGAAAATAATCATCGTGCCAATTGAGGCAAATACAGAGAAAACTTCCCTAATGCGCATAAAAATTTAAGTAGAGTTCATCAACCATGTAGGTTTTTTCTCATTCTCCTTCAATTTGAACTTCGTTAAAATCAGTGGCGATTTTGCAAGTTGGCAGCACTTTTTTTCCTCCATTTAATTCCACTCAAAATATAGATTTTAGAATTGCCAAGAATCGATTGTTATACCTACATACATTTTAATGGAAGAAAAACAGTGTTGCCAAGTTTCAAGAACCGCCTCAGATGAAATGTCATCGGTTAAAGTCAAGGAAAAGCAAATTAAAACGTGCCCTCGCACGTCGCACAGTAGATCGAGTCAATACGAGAGCTCGTTGGAAAATTTAAAAGCTAATAACTCCGTTTTTATACAAATCTTTGAAGTTTTAAAAGTGGTTTCATTATTGGTTTCCTCGTGAAAGTGTCCCGAAGAAGCACCCCTCGAAACTTTAAATGTGGCGAAATAAACAAAATTTGCAGTTCTAGTCAAAAATTTCATGTCCGACCTTTCTAATTGACTCGATCCACTGTGCGTCGCGCGACAACGCTTGAAAGTTGGCACTGGGACTCTCCCAGTCGAAGCCCCGCGACGAGGCGACTACGGCCGTGGTCCAAGAAAACAGAAACTGCGTCATTTTCCGCATTCGTTTTCGTCCAGCGCTCGAATCTGTGCACGTAATAGTAATGGACCAAATCAACTTGACTCGCCGGCAATGTCATTGCCTTTAAAAGGCATTAACAGTTTGTTTTCAACTTTTCTCGCTTGCGTAGCAGCCAGCGTGGCATGAAGGCATTATTAGTTTTTCACTGTGGAAAAGCGCTATCTCTAGCAGTGACGTGGTGTGCTTCGCGATACATCGATTTCGGGCGTACGGGGGGGGGGGGGCA